GCGTTCACCGTATTAGCGGCGTTCACCGTGTTAGCAGCGTTCACCGTATTAGCGGCGTTCACCGTGTTAGAAGCACAACTCACACTCGCAATGCTGGTGTCCTCCTCGTCTTCATTCAGGGCAATGTTGATGTTGGAGTAATCGGGGAATTTCGTGTAAAAGGCCTTCTCCTGTTCATTGGCCCAAAGGCAAATCGACTCATCACCTGGCCCGTCCTTATCCTTCCTGCTATTATTTTTCATTTTGTCAAATAGCTTTATGTGCTTCACGCTGGCGTCCTTCATGCCCAGCATTTCAATGCACACAATTTGTATCGCGTCCAAGCTGGGCACCTCCAACCCTAAGTAGCAACACAATTTCTCGCACTTGTCGTACACACTAAAAAAGTCACAGTCCTCCGTCTGGCAAGGACTCTTCTTCATACCCATGCTGTACTCGTTGATGAGGTGCTCTCCGTAGAGGTACACCAGCAGGTTCACCATGCTGCTGTGGTAGAACACGTGAAGGAAATTCGCCACGTGGTTCTTCACCTCGCCTAGTCGGAGCGTGGAGAGCGAAGCGGCGTTTTCCGCGTTAGCGTCGTTCGCCCCATTTGCTGCGTTGGCGACGTTACCTTCGGAAGGAGCATTAGCGATGACGCCGCCACCACCGTTATCGCTTTCTGCAGCAGTGTTGCCGGTACCGCCCCCAACGAAGAGCGTGCCCGCATTTGCAAAGACGTAGTCGTACGTCACCACCGTACTGACGGCCAGGTGCTTCTTCACAGAGCGCAGCACATCTGATCTTGTGGCGTAAGGATTCACGTCGCGCTTTTCTTGCGGCGATGAAGCCAAGCCAATCCTGTCTTTATCACCCACTTGTGAGTCCAAAATTAAAGTGAAGAAAAATGATATGTTCATAAACATATACGTTAGGAGGTCCCTATTCTTGCAAATGCCGTGTAGCACCAATTCCAAGTACAAGCACAAAAGTATTTTCCTTTTTTTATTCTTTTTTATTATTTTTTTTAAGAGATTTGGGTCGTTCAACATTTCCTTTATGTATGCCTTTTGGTCTGCTTGGTTACTCTTCCATCCCTTTGTCTCCTTTCCTTCATTCGCGAATAGGTCGTGCTCGAGAACAAATGAGTCCGTTTGTGTCCCCTCCTTGCACATGTGCGTGTGCAGGTTTTTCATCGCCATGGCTTTCGCCTTTTGAAAATTCCGCAACTCTTTCAGTTGTTGCACCAGCCTATCACACGTCTTCCCATCTCCATTTGAAATGGACTTTTCACTTGCAGCCATAGTACCACTCACCACCCCTGTATTATCTCCCGAGTCGGTACTAGAGTTGTTCACCGAGCTGGTGGCCCCACTCTCACTGGTCAACGGACAAAATGTGTAGTTGGAACAGAAGCTAGACTCACTAACATTATTATACAATTCGTAAAAGACGAGAAAGAAATAATTTTTGTCTTCCTCGTCCAGCCGAAAAAATGTTGCAAACACAGTCCTTTCAATGTGTTCACTCACGTGCTCGTAATTGTCGTGCACATATCGTATGAAGTTAATAAAAACGAATAGATCAGTGTACTTGTTCACATGATTAATTAAATTCAACAAAGAATTAAATATCTCGCTCAGATACTTGGAGATATTCAAGTGCTTAATATCCTCGAGCAATGTCTGGAGGTAGCTTTGTTCTAGGTTGGCTGCAGTTGCATTTTTTAACTTGTTAATAAATTTGTGAATATGAATTATGCTCATATTTTTTTTGTTTTCCAACGACGTTTTGTTTTGTTGCTCTTGCTGTTTTTCGTTATCCCAAGTTAGCATTCTTTCCCGCAGTGCGTCGTTTTCTCTGGAGCTTGCGAGGTACGTCTCGCGGGTGTCCAACACATTGGCACTACTACAACGTTCCGAGGATGCCATTTTTTTTTTTTTTTTTTTTTTTTTTTTTTTTTTTCCTTACGATAAGTAACACTTGCAAATCATTAAGCGGGGGGGTAGGGCCACACTGTGTCTTGTTCACCCTTTGGATCCACTTAGGGAGTAACTTCTTCCCCTTTATGCTCACATTATATTCATGGGAGTCTTGCACTGAGTCACACCTGACTGCTCGGCGTGGGGTTCCCCGTAAAAATGTGCCTCGACAGCGCCGTGCGAGTTACTGGCCGTGGGGGTTACTGACCGTACGAGTTGCTCGCCGTGGTTGGGGTTGTTCAAAATGATAAGGGTGTGAAATTGGCTAACTGCGGAAGGGGGGGGGGGGTGCCTCTTCTTTTAAAGTAGGCCCTCCCGCGGGGACTACAATGTGAAGAAAGGACAGTCAAGTGAAGAAAGCGGGAAATTATTTTTACTAATTGGGCTAAGGGAAACAAAATGGAGAAATTTAAAAAAAAAAAAAAAAAAAAAAATCATTTCGGAACTGCGCCCTTTCCCCCTTTACACGCATACAAATAGATCCACATGTACGAAAAGGTAAAAAAGAAGAAGAAAAAAAAAAAAAAAAAAAAAAAAAGTGTTCTCCACCCTATTGTGTAATTGCTGCTGTTCCGTTTTGTCGCCCCTTCTAAAATCACCTCACAGCTACACAATCCCACCAGGTGCGGAAGTCACACCCTTCTTTTGCGCATGCCTCTCCACACCTCTGGAAGCGTTACGCAAGATTTACCACAGAAACACATTTAGCATAATCGGCGTGGCGTTAAAAAATGGATGCCCCCGTGCCCGCTTTCTCTCTGGAGTGAGATTTCCCACACGTATAGAAGGAGTATAGTGTGACTGCGCTTAGTGTACACGTCTCTCTCTCAGCCGTGGTTTGCACCTCGGGCGTTGTAGGCGGGCAGGAGACAAAAGCGCGTACACCCAGTTGATAACGGGGCGCAACTTTTTCAGTTGGTACCTCACCACATACACATAAATATGTTGTTGTGGACCTTCAATGAAAACCCCTATACCACGGGAATACGATCTCAAGGGGGTGCACAAATTTCAATTTAGCTCCAAAACACGTGGGCATTTTTTTTTTTTTTTTTTTTTTCCCCGCTTCCTGAGCAGGAACACTTGCAATGACATGAAGTTTTTTTCGTCACACTCAAGTTGGTAGCTTCGAATAATTCACATTTCAATTTTTCTCAACTTAAAATGGAAAAAAAAGTATGTACCCTTTTAATCTGTCCCGATGGACAGCATGGCAAAGGGAACCACGCCATGCACAAAGGATGCTGCTTTTCACTGTTGTGTGTTTTTAAAAAATATTTTGCCGTGATCACCATCTAATCATATGTGCATGCGAAAGGGCAAATTCTTCCTTACGCAAAAATGTACGTACACCCCCGTGTGGAAAGCTCTTCCCTACTACCCCCCTGCCCCCCAAAAAAAAAACTTCAACTCACATTATTATGCGGACTATATATGTATATATTTATAAAAGGAAAAATGAGGAGTTGACATTGCCCCTCTTTTTTATTATTATCCTCTGGTCTTTTGTGACACTGGCACATAGGAATGTCAAATAGTTCAAGTTAAAACCACGCCCTTGTGTCACCCCTTTTTTTTTTTTTTTTTTTTTTTTTTTTTTCTGTTACGTGGGTTTTCCCCTTTTTATAGCACATCTGTTTTGCCACTGGCGGTGGCGCTGCAATAAGTCCCTCTGCGGGTCGCCACACCGAGGGCAAAAAAAAAAAAAAAAAAAAAAAAAAAGGGGGCAAAGGCGAAACAGCGAAATAAAGGGAAAATATACAATACAGTAACAAAACGAAGCGAAAGCGGAAACAGAAAAAAAAATAGGAAGAAGAATCAATCGCATATTCACAATCGAATTTTTTTTTTTTTTTTTTCCCTTTTTCACCATTTCGGGTTTTT